TCAAAATGTTCAATGTTGGCTTTCCCTTTTCCGTTTATTAACAAATTTTGAAACTTGCTAGGTGGGTGAGGGGGATCTAATTCTCCCTACAAATAAAATCATTATCATCGTCATTGTCGTTATTATTATTAACAAAAGTTAAACCTAAATTTGGTTATGTAGTTTTCGTGGTTGACTTGCATTTTTGTTCTTGCGAGCCAAACTTTAAATTTACTAACTACTTTTTCCCATGTGCATGTGCAGTGTACATGTACATGTACGTGTACATGTAAGGGACGAGGAAATGACAAGGAAGAGGGAAAGATCGCGCGCGTTTTGTGACCCGTTTGTTAGGGTACTGCTTCAGCATTCGCCTGGTGTTTCATGGAGTAATCACTGAAAATACCGATCAGGTCAGGCGGTTTCTAGAAGTTTACTTCAGACTGCGGCATTATTCGATCTAGCTATCTAGCTAGTCAGTTAATGTCCTGAGCCACCTAAGCCGGTATTTTACAGTCGACGTCTTAGCATTTCCTCCCCCTTAAAATGGGAAGATTTTGCGCTTGTATTGCACTTGTTCAATGTCCGCCTTGGCTTGCTTGCAGCAGCAGCTCCCCAGATGCAGAACGCCGCGATGGAGCCCTCCGCCGCCGCCGCCGCCGCCGCCGCCCACCCGCTGTGGCCGGACCCCTTGGACGCGCGCGAGTTCATCGACTTCGCCGGCGCCGCCGCCGAGTACATCGCCGACTACCTCACCTCCATCCGCGACAGGTAGGCGCCGCGCCGGCTCCGCAATGTAAGCGCGAGCGCATACTTCGACGTTCGTGTAGTGGCGATTGACGTAAACCAGCTGTTGGCGGCGGCTTCCAATCAGGAGATTGAACCTCACCACACATCAAGCTTCCGCTAGGATGATACAACAGCTGATTTACGTCAAGCGCCGCTACAATAAAGTCGAAGTATAGGCCAGATTTGGCGAGACAAGTGCTTCTGTAGGGGCTCTCTAGCAGGCGTTTCAAACCGCGCCCACGAGAGCTACCTGCCCGGCTGGGAGGCCTAGCGCTCTCGCGAGCGCGGCCAACTTCCCCTCACTCCGCTCTTATTTCCCCTCCAAATCTTGAAAAGAGCGCGCGCAAACTGAAGCGGGAAAGGGAAGTACAAAATCCTCTCCAATTACCACGACGAATGGTACTTTCATTAGAAAATGTTTCCCGGAAGTTTACTAGCAAACGGCCGAGATTTGTATTTCGTTTATTATGTACTTCAGTACTTTATTTTATACAAGTTTATTTTCCTTTGAAATATTGCCTTGAAGACTCAAGGGAAAGGAATATGTTTGAAAATCGTTGCGTGCTTTCCTTTTGGGTTTTATTGAATGATCGAGTTATTTATTGTTGCAGCAATAATGTGAAATTCATTCGTGTATTAATGTAATTTTCTATGTAACTTAGTATATTATCTGTAAACTCTTCTCATACATTTATTATAAGCGACATCTGTCCCTTAAGGGTGGACAGGGCTTTTAACAATCTTTGTTTCAAATTTGATAAGCATAACGAATTTGTTAAATTCACTTATGCAAATCGAGCATCGTTTCCACACCCTGTGCCCCAATAGGAATTCTGTTCATGTACGGTAAAGCTGACTAGCAATTACGAACGACTTTTTAAAATTCACCTAGTGAATGTTGAATTACCGGTTCCAGCCGGGGGTACAGGTAATTGATGCACACCACCCTGCAGTGAATTTGAGTAATGTCCACTCATATTTGGTGAATTTTTGTATTGCCAGGGGGCAGCAATAAGGGTTTTTGTGTCATATCGCCCTTTTACGGCCCAAGATTAAAACATTTTCTCTTCTTACGTTAGTAAGGATGCGTTGGGCCCACCAAGGGGCCGGGGGGCGCGCGGACGGACTGGACAAGGCAGGCCCGGTGGGCGGGGAAATCATTAATCGCAAATTACAAAGGCACCCTTCACCAGCACTCTTACCAAGGCGTAGTCTGGCAGATGACATAGGATAAAAAAAAACTCATTTTTAGTGACATACTTAATTTAATGGATTGAACATGTATGATATGGTGTAACAAAATACATTTTAGAGGTTTTTATAGATACACCGAAATGATTTGACTCTCACAGCAGACATTTGCTTGGTGCTGTCCACACACGACTTTTGAGAAGCGTCCGCAGAAGTACCTCGTCACGCGGTCATTATTTTGATCGCCATCGTCCCATTACGATTGCTAAACGTTCAGAAGAAACCTTACGTGCTACAAGTATATTTTATTTATCATTTACAATGCTACCCAATAAAGCACCAAAAAATCACTGTCAAAGGCGTAGTCTAGTGGACGACACTTGTTGAAATAGCGTATACCGGAAATAGGCACTCGCATAACGATACTTGTATTTTACAGGCTAGTCACACAATGAAGCTACACATATTTTCTGAAACGGACGATGAGGTCAAGAGGATGGGGTAAGCTTTCGGCACTATTAACGTCGTCTGGCAGGCGACGCCTTCGCGATCTAGCCGGTAACCATAAATATAAAATTCAAGTCGAGGCTCTCTCGCGTGTTTGGTATAGGATTTAACGCAAGCTGCTTAGAGTTGGAGGAATAAACTCGAGCGCGTACGTTCCCTGTCGCCCGCTCTTGCCCGCTCCAGCCCGCCTCACCCGCTCCCGCCCGCTCTCGCTTGCTCTCACCCGATCTCGCCCGCTCCCGCCTTCTCTCGCCCGCTCCCGCTCTCTCTCTCTCTCTCTCTCTCTCTCTCTCCTTCTCTCTCTCTCTCTCTCTCTCTCTCTCCTCTTCTCCTCTCTCGCCCGCTCCCGCTCTCTGTTCGAACCGCTCCCGCTCTCTCTCTCTCGCCCACCCGCTCTCGCTCCTTCTCGCCCGCTGACGCCCGCTCTCCCCTCTCTTGCCCGCTCCAAGCCCGCTCCTCGCCCGCTCTCGCCCGCTCCCGCCCGCTCCCGCCCGCCTTCCCGCCCGCTCCCGCCCTCTCCCGCCCTTCTCCCGCCCTCCTCCCGCCCCCTCCCCTCCCCCACCCTCTCTCACCCGATCTCGCCCGCTCTCGTCCGCCCTTGCTGAGGAGAGCCCGCCCCCGGGCGTGTGCGCAGGCGCGTGCTGCCGGCCGTGGAGCCGGGCTACCTGCGCGACCTCCTGCCCGAGGCTGCCCCCGAGCGCCCGGAGCACTGGCGCCACGTGCTGGCGGACGTGGAGCGCGTCATCATGCCAGGGGTGAGTCTCCGCACCGCTCCTCGCTGCGCAGGGTGAGTCGGCGTCCTTTTACCTTCTCAACTAGGGGAGGTGAAGATGCATGAACCACGTGGATGCATTCATACGTACACATGGTCTACTTTGAACTACAAAGATATATGGTCAATTTTGGTTTTTGAATGCAACCACATAATAATCATGGAAAGTGACAGCCAAAACCTAAAAGTTGCCTTGTCACAATGGGCTAAATATACAATTTCAAACATGTGCAAACCTTCAAACCTGAGCGAATAGTTGTTGCTTGTTAATAGCTGCTTTTGTCTCATAGTTTTTCATTGATGTCCCCTTTTTTTATTCAGTCTTGTCCTTGTTTCCATTGAAAAGGAAACAATTTGTCCTTCAGATAAACACTCTCAGTCACACAAAAGAAACTGTTCGTTTTAAAAGATCAGATGCTTTTCTTGCCCGGGGGACGTTCGGGGCATCTCACGTAATCTCAAAAAACCCTTTTTGATTGTCAATGTGAAAATGCATACTGTTAGCTGCAAGGTTTAAATATCGTGGTTTGCGCGCCAATTCGGTGCTGAGGGAGTGCGGGCGGTGGGAGTAATGGCAAGAGCTGGAGGCTAGTTATTCTCAGCTCGCGTGAGGAAGAACTGGAAAGCGTCAAAGAATGTGCAGCCGAAAAGGAACGACCTCATCAGTGGTTCCTCAAGAGGAGGCTACTGCATGATGTTGGGGAGGAAGAAAGAAGTCGATAGCATAATAACTTCAAATTGAATTAAAGAATCGCGTAGCAAATGTGATAATTTTCCTTCACTTGCGATGGGATCAGAAGTAAAGATACAAGATTTATATCCATCATTTCGATTTCATCTTTCGCCCGGACTTGCGCCAGTCAACGACGTGAGATTACCCCATGTGGCAGCCAGTGCCCTTGATTCATAGTATCGCTAGCGCTTGGGGACGCGTTGATTTATTTGATAAAGCAATCGCTAGATGGCAGTAAAATCAAGGAGGAAGTCCTCTCTTCAACCCGTAAAGCTCTATTAAAAAACTTTCCTTTAGTGTCCACTAAAGCCCAATGAGATATGGTCAATTAACACAGGACAGAAAGAAGAGCTGAGAGTTCTCTCTGACAGCAATTTCGACACGTTTTGCTCCGTTGAAAAGCGCGCGTAGTTTAAAATCCAATCAAACTCAAATCTTCATAACTACCCATCAAAAAAGTAAACGCTTTCCTTTAACACACCGAAGCAAAAATTCCATTTGTTTATTAGATGTCATTAAGAATATGTGTGAAGAACATTGCTCCCTTCCCTCCCGTCAGAAACCGCCACTGTCTTCAAGCATGGAAAGAGTGAAGAGATAAAAGCACATTATCACAGTCGAAATGAAGGTTTGCGATGAAAACGGGGAAATATTGCACTGAACTGATTCCTGATTAAGTGAATCGATTTTGCATTTAGGTAACAAACGTCCACAATCATACAGCAAGCTGAATACGTGTATAGACCATTTTCACCAACAGTCTATACGCATCTCACAGGAATCTGTTGGCTGATCTAGTGTACATGTACGACTATTATCCGATTTCAATGGAGTGACTTTCGACTTCTCATCAGGTTATTCATTCGGGAGCTTGAAAAACAAAACTTTTAAGTCGTAACGGAGCTCCCAAATGGAAAAGCGCTGGTGATCCGTCGGAGGGCCCTCTATTGCAACGCAAAGCACGCATCCCCGTTCTGTTTGGCGGCGCAGATGACGCACTGGCAGTCGCCGCAGTTCCACGCCTACTACCCGACGGGCTCGTCATTCGCGGCGATGGTGGGCGAGATGCTGAGCGCGGGGCTGGGCTGCATCGGCTTCTCGTGGGCGTCGTCGCCCGCCGCCACCGAGCTCGAGACGCACATGATGGACTGGCTGGCGCGCCTGCTGGCGCTGCCCGAGCACTTCCTCAACGCGGCGCCCGGCCCCGGCGGCGGCGTACTGCAGGTACGTTCCGTTCATTGAATCGAGCTGATTCCGGGGGCGCCAACTGTCAAGGTCAAATGAAGTCGTAGGTTTCCACGGCCAGAGTCATGTGCGTGACTTTAAATGAAGTCGTAGGCTTCCGAGGCCAGAGTCATGTGGGTGATCTGGGCTGTCCGGGTGACGCCGCGTCGAAGACTGCGTTGCCGACGTTTCGACCATCTTGTCGTGGTCTTCCTCAGGTCATCCTCACAGCGAGCATGCCAGCCCTGAGGAAGACCACGAAAAAATGGTCGAAACGTCGGCAACACAGCCTTCGACCCGGCGTCACCCGGACGGCCAAGATCACGCAACTGTTAAGGTCATTATTCCTGTAAGTGTGGAGCATGATTTTTCCTCGGAAGGTGGCGGTGTTCCTCCATCGCTGGATGGCGAGATTCGGCACCGCGCCTGCAGGGGCGAGCTCTAAGCTCCCGACCGGTCTCCCGGCATGTGTGGCAGTGTAGTGCATGTTTGTGAGTGTTTATGTAAGGAATTAGGATAGGTCAAAGAAGAGGAAGGAAAGATCGCACGCGCTCCATGACCCGTTTCTTAGGAACTGCTCTGGCATTCGCCTTGTGTTGATGGGAGAAACCATGCAAAACTACCGATCAGAGCAGATGACCGCACTAGAATTCTCCTCCAGACTGCAACAGAATTCGACCGGGCTGATAAGCTAGTGTCTATAACCCTGCGATCTCCCGGTCAGAGACACTACAGTGACATCAGTTAATACTTGATTCACCTCTCCCGGGGACAGTGGATTCGAGTCTTGATGGTGGAAAAATTTGGGACCCTTGCTACGACTATATAGCTATGTGGAATTCAGCCGATGCTCTGATCGCTTGTTTTCCGCAGTTTCTCCGAACCTCAGGCGAATGCCGGAGCAGTAACCCAACAAACGGGTCTCGGAGTGCGCGCGATCTATTGTCATTCCCGTCCTATACTCACCCCTTATTTATACACACACGTTCGTCCAACGTGTAACGGTATAGCATCTGTGAGGATGGCACGATGTGATAATGATAGGGGTGCGAAAGGACGAACACAATACAACTATGCCCGAGGTAGGGCTCGAACTATCTTTCGGTTCGAGTTCGCTACGGCACTACTGCCTTAGCGCTCTCGGCCATCTGGACCGGCGTCCTTAAAATTTGTTTAAAAAAGAAGTTACCGTTTAATGGCTTATAACTTTTATTACTAGAACCTTTCCTAAACAAAAATGATAGTTGTCTTTCAACGGATGTTTTCACAACTATTCGAAACCCTCGTCGTGCGTAATTCTTTTACAGAAAATCCAGCGTTCTCATACAGCTAAGCCTATTGTTAAATACGTTAAATTCTTATTTTAGTGTCATTTGATGTAGAAACCAGTTTTCATTCACAGCAACTTCGAGAATGTTGGACTACTTTCAAAAATAGTCGTAGTGTTCTGAGTTCCCACGGAAACTACCCCAAGTACATAAAATGTTCCACATATTTAACCCCCTGTCATTACACAAAAACTGAGAATTTTGCCCTAGCTTACAGAAAAATGGCTGTAATATTCTGCCGAACGCATGTAGCGTTAGTTCTTAAAAATATAAAATTCCCCTTCAGTTATATTCCTATTTGTTCTTGGAGTTCCCCGAGAATACCATCTCCCCATTCGTGTTCTTCGGATATCTTCTTTATACTGTTATGGGTGCCCTTACCTACAGGTCCAGAGACTTACCCGCACTAAATTGAGTTGTGATTGCAGCAAACAACGGCATCACAGATATTTGTAAAATTCAGCTCGCTAAATTAATACATAGAAGTGACACATAATTCGTAAAATGTCTCATGCAAAATCTTCCACGCAAAATCGCGTACATTCAATTCGCAAGAGTTAGGCATCCGCTCATTGAAACTTAAAAGCGCTTCAGAAAGTAGATGCTTTTTTTATCACCGACCGCGCGCCGAAGAAATGTTTGTCTTTTCTTTTGTTGGCGCCTGTACCACTGTTCGCGGATCACGGCAGTGGTCACTAGCAAAAAGCCTCTGCTCTTTGCAAGGTTGCAAAATCGTAACTCGACTGTGACGACCACTTCTGGCCTGCGGAAAGGAATGGCTCGACCATATCAAGGTGCTAAAAACAACACAGAATACGTCATTCATTTATATCCTGTACATAATCAAACTTTTAATAAATTCACTGACAATCTCCAGTCAATTAGTCAGAATCTGTAGTCGGCAATAGGAGTTGATTGCGGATTCTCTCTCTTCTGTAATAGTACCAGTGAATTCTCTCTTTCATTGTGTCGTTCGAGATGTTCCAGCATTCTTCAATGCCCACGTATTTGTAGGTTTTACCTGGTTCAGGATCTTAAATCAGTATGCATGTCAACGTCAATGCTCACTTTGCTTCTTTAAATTGACTTTTGTACATTTGTCAAGACCAAATTTCATGCATATGTCATTGATAAAATCATTGGTGGCAGACTGCATTTGGGAGAGAATCGCACCACGCGTTCGAGGTTTTTTTTTCGAAATTTAGCAACTGGATTTATCCACTTTTTCTTCTCCTCTCAAAAGTTCTCAAAACCCAATGGTCTTGTATGTTATATCTACACGGCATATGAACTGTTCTTATTGCAATTTTAAAATTATAATTGCCGTAACAAATACTTGAAGGGTTTTGATGATGCTAATAGTTAAATTTTAGTACAGCTACATTTTTACGCTCTTTTGCTAATACGCCCACAAATGAACATAGCATATTTGCATTAGCAAAAATGCTAAATGCAAATGTGCGGATCATTTTCAATTAGTTCCGAAAATCTGTCGCCACATCTTTTACAACTACATTTGATTCTTCCCCGGATTGCCTTTACACTTCCATGTTCTTCTCCGCTAACTTTTGAAGAGATTAAACTTCACGTTCTTTCCACGAGACTAAACTTCAAGTTCTTTCCAATTTGTGTTCACTTCTATCTCTGCAATTGCTCTATTAATCGTTTTGTATGCGACTCTAGCGTTGTATGTCAATCTAACATTAAAAGCCAACTGTTTTTGTATCTTCATGTGAATAAGGTGTTAGTTAAGTTTAAAAAGAATAAGTTGTAGATCACATTCATTTGAAAATCGGTATTTGCACACTTCCGTAAGAACGTAGAAGTGAAAAGTCAAACATAAGAACGTTCGATCATTCTCCAGCATAACGCACAGTTTTATCTCTGTATTCACTTGAAATTCAGTTTCAAGGCAATGCTGGTCCTAGGTTTTCGCAATTTTTTTTTTTTTATGATAATTCGATTACAATTTGAAATGAACTCTGCAGCGCGATTCACTTGGTACGTTAATTGTTCACTTACAGATATCAACATCAGTGTTGCCAACGTCGTGAAAGGAAATTATGGCATATTGAGCGAAAAGTGCCTTTGGGTACTGGAGTTTACATTACGATTTTTTAGTCGTGCACTTGACGTAAATCAGCTGTTGCGGTTTCATTGAATCGGGAGCTTTAAATAGGTTTTACACTATTTCCTTTTGCACTTATGAATAACTTGGTGTGCTCTATCACCGAGTCCTGTATTAGAAACGAAGACTGAATGACCCTGTTGTTTGGTTCAAATCCTGGATAAGATCACAGTACTGAAAACGAAAATTGCAAATTTCTTTGTATCTCCTGACCGCATCCGAAAACAATTACCAGTTCCCCATCAAGAGAATGAGAAGCGTCGAAAGGCACCTCATATGTCTCGATTGGTGAACGGGAAGCCGTCTAGCCGTGCGTGACGGGACCGCACATACGAACATACGCACACTTGGAGTTTTACTAAATTACTGTATAGGGATTATTATTAATATGACTCATTATTTTTCGTTTTGCGAATCGTCCATCATGGGGCCACGCGATACGTGCATCCCACTGGGGTTCGGTCACGACTATAAGGGTAGGTGCACGTTACTTTTCTATTGGGGAATCATCAGTATTTAATACAGATTATATTTTTACACCTGAAGGTTGTGAACCCTGCGGGATGGGGTGAAATGATGATGATGATGATGATGTGATGAAACAGACACACCCACAAATATACAGATCCACGCTTTATTATTATTATTATTATTATTATTATTATTATTATTATTACTATTATTATTATTACTATTATTATTATTATTATTTGTAATTATTATTATTATGCTTGAAGTGATAATGAGGTTGAAAGGACTAGTATGATGGTGGGAGGTGGGAAAGTGGGAGATGGGAGGTATTCGTGGGATTTTTGGAACCATCCCAGCATTCGCCTTATGTACCCAGGAAAATCACGAAAAACCCTGGTCAAGTTAACGGGCCCCGGAATCGAATCCAGACCTCCCGATTGCCAATCCAGCGCGCTACACAATGAGCCACGCGGCTTATTATTATTATTATTATTATTATTATTATTATTATTATTACTATTATTATTACTATTATTATTATTATTATTATTATAAATATTTCTAATATTAACGTTCGTCGTGAGTTTCAAGATAGAACTCAAGGACAGAGCGGCAGTAAATACAGGGAGCAATGCTATTTCTTCCTGCTCTGCTTCAATGACAGCTGAGGTTCCGCTTCAGTGACTAAGTGAGAGGATCTTACGCACGATATTAGAAGTTGCCCACAGCGCGGCCTTCTGAATATTTCTGAACTTCCCTTTTCATAATGATGAGGTTTCTCCTTCAAAATCGCCCAACCATCAGCCGTCACAAGAAATAACCACAAGTACAATATCTAATTTTTGAAGCTGGTATAATGCCTTCCGTTCAATTGCAAGTGTTTCTTTTTTTCTTGTGTGCAATTGTCAGAATTATTATTATTATTATTAATTATGATCTTTTGGGATTGTAATACCTATTACTATTGCCCTTCGAACGGTTTTGTCGAACATGTGAATATCGGGCTTCCATTGTTCTGCCGGTAACAATGGTGGTATTCGACAACAGTTTTCTTTTCTTTCATTTGTCAGTACAGGCATTTCCTGCAGTAGGTACTTATAGTAAGGCAGACTTACTTTCCAAGGCCCCCATCTTCTCGCAAGAGCTTAGTGGATAATTTTGGCTAAACGTGTTTTGACGTAAATATTCAGTTTGTGCCAACTCAAACAATCCCCTTCAGATGTGCTGAATAGACTCATCTCACACTGGCGGCGCTTATAACTGAAGTTCTCTTTCTTCGTGTATCGCCTGTGGGTATTAGTCATTATTACAAATCCTTCCATCTATCAAAAAGCAAAGCAGTTCTCTACTAGTCAGTCCATCTCTTCATATTGACATGGTCACGTCGAAGCGCCGCACGGTGCCAAATGGTGCTAAAACGTGCGTATATGCACCAAATTTTAATTTTTGAAAACCAATTATTTATTGATAAATACCAATTCTAAATTCTTCAAATTACTAGAATCCGGGTGAAATAATATTTTTATCAACGCTCACAGCCATAAAATTTGGAGTCGTTTTTTTAATAATTGGTGTTTGAGAGTTTCTGAAATTGCGAAATGTTGAGATAGTTTTAATAGAAAACGGTTGATTTTTTGAGAAGCTGTATCTAACATTATTTAAAGCACATGTACTCATAAATATAATAACGTGAGCAAATTGCTGCTTATGTAAATATTAACAAAGTGAGAGACATGTCAAAAAATTACTTCTTTTTGAAAAAACAAAAGAATAGAGCAATATCGCGTTTATGTCATCTTAGAGAGTCCATTTAGCACCATCCCAACCAAAATTTTAAAGAAAAATTTGAATCGGTTTTTGAGGATATCTTATTTTGTATTTTTTTTAAATTACACGCAATAATAACTAAAATATTTAAAAAATGTGCATGACCTTAATAAAAGAACAAATTATAGATAATACATTTTATTTGAAGAAAAAATCTCTATCTTTAATTTTGTTGTTGTAGGAAGACCACAAAAAATTCAAACTTTGGCAAGTTTCCAAAATTTAGATTTAACCGTGAAAAGCGGGCCTATGCTGCATTTATAAGTACATTTTACTCTATTCTTATAAGAAATTTAAAGAAAAAATGGTTTAGAGAAAATTTTGAAAAAGTCCCAGTGGTTTAATGTAATATATCCCCAAACACTAATGAATGATTTTCAAAATCGCAGAGCTTCAACTCAGGCTAATGGACGGAGGTTTCTTCAATTTGGAAAAAAATCCTTCTCATGATTCGGGCGTAAGTGTTCTTCACATACACCAGACGGACATACGGACGGACGTTTTGAAAAAACACTTTTTCGGTACAGGTGACCCCAAAACGTGTATTTCCGTTGAAATCTCGGAATCGATTATCCGCCGGATTACATGACTTTCCCTATACTACGTATATACGTACGTATACGGGAAAGTAAAAAAGGTCATGTACAATATCGTTGATAGTAAATGAAAACCATGCTAAGTGCCAAAAATGGAATTCCGAGATCATTAAGAAAATCTTTTCAAAACGCACGGTACTTGACTGATGCGCAGTTTAGTGACGACAATTTGAACCCCTAAGAATGAGAATTTCGTATATCAAATTTTACAACGCATTTATCTTAACACTTACACTTTTCAGCATACAATGCAAATTTTCACACTTTCGCACTTAGCACATTTTCATTTATGCTCTACAATTGCTTGAAGAAACGAGTAGTTTTTATGGGCTTGAAATTAATGCTTATCGTAACGTTTCTCCGTGGTGAATTAAAACCAACACACAGGCATTTAAACAAAGAAGTTTATTCGTAATCAATTATACACTAAAACAACTTGATCTATATACAGGTATATACAGTCCCCATGCTCTTCACTTAATTATTTTTCTTACACACGACTCCGTTCTCTTGATTATTTATTTACACAGTTCACTTCTTACACACTATTTATTTACACTGTTCTCTTCTTTTACAGTATCACCCAGTCTGATGCGCAGACCACAATTCCCTGCGCAAACCACAATTCCCTGCGCAGACCACAATTCCCTGCGCAGACCAGAATTCCCTACGCAGACCACACTTCCCTGCGCAGACCACACTTCACTGCGCACACCAGGTTCCACTGCACTGCTGTTTACCGCGATGCACACTTCACAGCTCTTATTAACTGCACGCGCTAACTGATACATACACTAACTGATCCGCGTCTGCTTATTCTGACTACTACTTACACTCGCTTACACTGACATCCTTACACATACCAACTTACACTGACTGACTACTGACTGACTTGACTGCTACTCACGCGAGACCGCCGGCAGCGACGCATTTATACCTGGCCGGCGCTCCTCCCGATACACCCGGCCCTTTCTCCGCCTTTCCCCGCGACTCGCGAATAGTCCGGAACCGTCCAGTTCGGGGGAAAGGAAAGGGCGCCGGCAGATGACGCAATCCGCGCGCAGCGAATTCCGGTAGGTGATGCAATTTCGTTACATTATTATAAAAAAGTATTTTCTCAAAAATCACTCCAATATTTTTCTTCAATTTTTTCCCACGGCTAGATAAAGTGTCGCTCAAACGATTGGCGAGACTTTCATTTTCGTTGAACTTTTTGAACTTCGAAAATTTCAAGTTCAAAAATAATGCGAGAATGTCTGCGTTGTAGCACCACTAGTTTGTATTGTTTCATCTGTGTTTGCTAGGTGTTGCTAGAAAACCTGGTACTTATATTAATCTTCACTAAAAAGTTCTGTACTCACCAAATAAATTAATGAAAAGAGAAATTAGGGTCCATCTAAATTCTGGAAGCGATCTCTCTTCACGTGAACAAGTACACACTTCTCGAGGTCAAGATTCCTCCAAATAGAATTGTTGAAGCTTTCCACAAGTATCAGCAAGCTGTTAAATTCTTCTGGCTCTTTAGAATCGAGAATAAGAATGTACATAAACTATAATTGATGAATAATGATTTTCTTAGGATTCTTGAAAGCGTGTCCAAAGCCGGAAGCCTTCAGCACACCACTCAAAGAGCAGGAAGAGTAATGGAGGCAAGCTCTAGCACTGAGGCGGAGGCACTGAAGTACAAGGCTTAGGCTATTTCTCTGAAGCAAAGAAAAAGCCTTCATAAATTATTTCCCAACTAACCTCTTTGTAATTTAATTGCCGTCTTATATCAAACAGCGTTATTTGTCAGCTGCCCATGCATATCGTTAGAAAAATAATGTTGGTGAGATGAACTTCGTAGTGTTGAAGGGTTCATCGCAATCAAAAGTGAGGAATGGAGGCAAAAGGCTTCCTAAACTCAGTCCAGTCTACTTACAAGTTATGTGACTTATTATTGTTATTGTTATTATTATTATTATTATTATTATTATTATTATTATTATTATTATTATTGCTTTTGATGTAAAACTGTAAATTAATAATTAAGTATTAATTTTGTAGTTTCTAACAAAAATCTGATTATCGTCGTTTTACTTATCTTTAAAAAGTTAGTAAATTGGTATTACACACCGCACGTAAACGCGCGTGACAAGAAGCGTCTGCGAACAGGGATCTGCGAGCGAAGCGACGCTGGTGGCGCTCCTGGCGGCGAAGGAGAGGACTGTCCGCCGTGTGCTGGAGGAGCAGCCGGGGGAAGACGCAGCCCTCCTGAAAACGCGCCTTGTCGCCTACACCTGTGGTAAGCAATCTCAAATATTGTCACATTAAACTCATTTTGCGTCTACCTTCTTCACTAAAATCCAAAAATTAAGATTCGTTTCCGTAATGATGGTCCTCGTCTTTCTTGAAATCGAGGAATATTAAAGTAATTCAGTTAACGCAACAAAAGGTGTTTGGTCATTTCAGTATTCTAACTGTAACCAAAAACAATCTGGGCTCTACCAATCTCGCCAAATATAAACATATCTTCTTGTTTTCTTGAATTGAAAATCGTCTGTTTATCACACGCACAAATTTCTCGAACGCTAATTCATTGACGTTACTAGTTTCACTCAAACGTGTTTCTATTAACAGAGTCGCTAGAGCACATAAGGGCTCAGATGGCATTCCGCTCTCCGGAAAATACGAACGGGAAGGGGGAGGGAGGAAGGATGTCAACGGTGGACTGCAGCATAATTTGCAATGTAATTGAAGAAAAATTGTATATATTTAAAAACTAGTTTCACAATATCTTATACGCATTTTCTGCAAGTTTCTGTTAAAATATTTGGTTTTTATAGGATAGGAAAGACGTAAATATCATGAACATTTCTGTACTAACGGTCCTTTTGGCAAGAATGCTGATGTCTACGTCCCTTTTTAAAGAATGTCTTTAATACTCACTATATTTCTGCGCATGCACAATTGTACTTTTTACTTCAACTTGTATCAAAGAGGATTGCAACATGTTTATGCACACGTCTGACACCAAGAGAATACCGAAGTTTCCAGGAAGCGATTATGAATTAAAATGGTTTGATTTTTTTTTTTGTAAACATCCGATAAGCGTTGATAAACGAAAATATCAGGATAGGAAAAATTCTAATAATAAAAATTCTAAATCATTAAACAATAACATTTTATCTTTACAGAAAGAGGAAAAAATTACCCTGGGCTCCATCAGGCGCCCTCCTTTGGTATATTAGTTGTCATTGTTTTCTTTATTATTTTTGTCGTGTATCTCCTAAATATTTTCTGAATTCACCCGAGGCTCTAAAACCGGTCGTGTTTTGCCGCTGTTTCTGCAGAGACTCTGATCGGGAGGACCTAGTGTTCAAGTCACAATGATTGCAGAGTTACGACCCTAACTAGACAGCTAGGTCGAATGCTCGCGTTGTCAGGACGAGAACTGTAGCAGTTGACTGCTCTATTCGATATATTTCCGGGGTTTCTCTGCACAATACAATGAAACTGAAACAATGCCTGAACAAACGAGCCACGGACCGCACGCGATATTTCCTTCCTCATTCTTGACTATTCTCTACTTACATACCCGCACACACCAGAGGGAAGACCTGTCGATAACTTAGAACTCTCCCCGACTCGGGCGGAGTTCCCTCGGTGGAGATTCCTGGAGAGGAATCCCCCGCGCAAATTGACATGAAGGTCGGCGCCGAGCGCCATCATTCAGGAGAAGAAGAAAAGCGGCATAAAACTGTCTCACAGCTCTAACGAGGCTAATGACTACAGCAGTTGACGGATCCGCAAATATCAATCAATCAACCGTGTTTGTAAGGGTAGAAACAGATAGTACGTCACGCGCTACACCGCGCTGCACGTTTATGCTGAGGTCGACACGCTTTGTCGTGTCCTGCCTGTTTGAACCGTAAAGCATGCTTGATTGATAAGTGACTCTGGGGGTATCGAATGCTAAGGTAATTAGTCCCGTACGTGTAGTCCGTGGTTTTATCTCGGGAGGTGATGGTGATCTTCTCCTGCTGGATGGCGAGATTCAGCGGCGGCTTACGACGACTTGTGGGGACTATCCCCAATCAGGTATCTCCCACCTAGGAGACACCGCCCCAACTGGGACTCATTCTAAGCGCCTGACTGGTCTCCCGGCATGTGCGGTAGTGTAGAGTATGTAAGTGTAAGGGTGTGTAAGTAAGAGGTGAGGATAGGACAAGGAAGTCAAAGAAAATATCTCATGCATCCTGAGGCCCGTTTGTCGAGGTACTGCTCTGGCATTCACCTGGTTTTGATCGGAGAAATCACCACCAAACAGAGCAGCCGGCCGCTAGAAGTTCGCCTTCATACAGCGCCTACATTCGACCTAACTATGTATATAGTGCCGAAAATCCTGCCACCGCCGAACCCTAGGTTCTCCCGGTCAGTGGCACTGCAGTGGCCTCAGTTGATGCCCTGAACCAAAGCGTGGTGGAGCACAGAGTTTGCAGCGAGCGGCGTGCTTGTAGACCAGGCCAACTCGTCCGTGGAGAAAGCGGGGCTGCTGGCGTCGCTGTCCATGCGCCTGCTGCCGTCCGACGCCCAGGGCCGCCTGCGCGCCGACGTGCTGCAGAGGGCCGTGGACGAGGACCGCGCTAACGGCCTGCTGCCCTGCTTCGTGAGTACCGCTCGCGGGTGAAAGGGAACGCCCTAGGTACAGAGAGTAGCGCACGCACGTCAAACCGCGCCCGTCTGGGAAGCCCAACGCTCCTTCCAGCACGGGGAACTTCACTACTCTGCTCTTGTTTGCCTTCCAAAACCACGAAGGGGTGTTGGTGTGCGGCGAGAGGCGGCTTCACTCAAAAATATGTTTGTTTGCATTTGTAAAACATTTTCTTTGTTCAGCTACTGACATTTGTATTATCCTTTACTACTTATTACGTTGTCGTGTTTATTTCATTTTTAAATTCTGTCGTATTTTAACATTTTTCCCAAGTGTCAGGAATTCAGAATCAGTAAATTATTATAAGATTTTTATATTTTATATAAATTAACAATTCTCACTTATGGACGGACAGCTTCTTTAATTGACAAAAATCTTTATAAAACCTCCTAACCTGGGCAAAAGAAGTTAATGCAATTATTGCTCTCTTAGCTCGTTACTAAATCAAGATACATTCGATTTCAAATGTTTAATTTCTCTCTCAATTGATAATTTGGAATGTGATGGATATATTATTTCATTTTGATAAATAATTTCTTTGTCGTAACATAGAATATGGGAATTAATATCTCTAAATTTGGGGCAATAATTGTCAAATATTTTCTCCAAACGACTGTCATGTGCCAGAAATCCATGGATCTACAGCCGTCTCTGAGAAATGTTCATAACCCTTACTTTTAAATCTCGCCACAGTAGTTTTTCGCGCAGGCTAGTTACCTGGCCTGCGTCCTCGACATCCCTTCCGTCATTTTATATTAGCAGTTATCAGGGCAGTTCGAACGGTGCAGCATTGTGTGTTGCAAACTACCAATCTGCTAAAAATCGATGTAAATATGCTCTAAAATTTCCATAATACCTTCAGTATTTATCGTTTCTTCTCAAGTCCTGTACACTGCCTGACGGGACTCTCGGTTGAGAAGATATGTGCCGGCGGCCGCTTAGATTTCGCTACTCTCTGTATCTAAGGAATCAACGTTCATCAAGAGAAAGGTGAGTTAAGCTTATTAGTCGTCCCCGTTGTCCGAGGACAGAGCTTGGATATATCTGTCCGTCCTCGGAAAAAATAGGTCTCCGGAATGTCCCCAGTTTTATTTAATGCCAGCTGAAATGTCACCCTGAATATTTTCAGCATTGTTTAATGTTTTATATCGCGTATATGTAAAGCGGGAGATGTAAAATCTGTGCACGTTTTCTTAAGCTTTGAGATCCCTACCTAACTTATATACATATTAAGTTGAATTATGAATATATAAATCAATGAAATCATTTGGTAAGAGTTGATAATAAAATATTCGCTAAATAAAAAATATTTACAAAGGCAGATGAGCTACATATAATGGCTATTATTTCCTACCGTGCAGTGTGTGAAAGAGCCAACTGCCGAGAACAATATTTTCCATCCTAGATTTGGAGAGCGATTATTTGGATTTTTAAAAACGTGAGCAGATGACGAGAAACTGTCGATCCGTGCACTCGATCGCTAGAATGCTCTTCCAGACAGGCGTGAATTCGACGTATACTTGAATTAAAACAGAGTTCTTTCAATGTCTGAAAGCTGGAAAGAGAGAGGGAAGGACACTTTCATCGAATCAGGACCTTCAATACCAAAATATTAAGTCGTAACGACGCTCGCGATTTGATGACACTGTCCCCCCTTGCAAAGGTTCAAAGGTCTTAATGTTTCAATCGGAGTACAGAGTGCAAACACCGCTAGGGTCGGGACTCGAAGTGGCTTGGTCGCGATTGCAGGTGGTGGCGACGCTCGGCTCCACGCCCACGTGCGCCTTCGACCCGCTGCCCGAGCTGGGCCAGCTCTGCCAGCGCGAGCGCCTCTGGCTGCACGTGGACGCCGCCTACGCAGGTGAGCTGGCAGCCACTCCATTCCTCTTACACACGACATATTTTACTAGTAAATACTTTAAACATACTACAAAGAAAAGAAGATGGTAATTTTAATTGCACAATTAATAAACACTATTTTGTGTCGAACCACTTACAGGATTCTCAGATGGCGTGGACAACTTATCATCCCAGTGTATAACAATATTCCAAATACTCAAGTTAAAAAGGGGAAAAATTAGGGTCTGAACGACTATGGAATATGGAACCAGGTTAATGATGCTCCATGGTCACTTACCGAGGGAATTATGAGAGGGAAATATGAAAAGACAAACCGAGTCAAGCTAACATCTAGTTAATTAGTAAATAAGTAAATCTGGGTCAATAAAATTTGGTAAAAATAAAAGTACGTATCTACCACTGGTTCTAATTACCTCGGCCCAAAGGTCCTCGGGCGTTTTGTAGCAGATCGATTTTTAGAACCCTTATAATGCTCTTGGTGCATAGATAACTATTTTTTAAGTAACGTTGTGAGGCCCCTTTTATAATGTTTGACGGGATCACGGCCCCCTCCCCATGTGCGCTCCCCTGAGGTGCGAAATGACTGGGGTAGTGGCGACCTCCCCCCCCCCCCGTTGGGTGACCAATGTTGGAGCGATCAGACTGCTTTCCGCCGCTAAACTGTAGTGATCAAAGCAACTTCTCGTTTGTTTTTCCGGGGGGGGGATTTCCCTTGGCTTTCATTTCAACATTTCGCAAACATTAGTTCATATCAACATTATCTGCCCTTCAAGCTCATCACAGGTATGGCCGTAGGGCATGAACAGCGGCATCAAAATAAAGAACTTCTCTCCCGTAAAATGTTTGTTATTCGATTCTGGAAATGCATGAATTTATCTCTATCAGGGGCATACGTAATTTATGTACTAGGTGCATCACTTATAATTTCCAAACTTTAAAATATTCATATGAAGTTCATTTTTCACGTCCTGGAGAAAACTGCAAATTTATTTCCTCACCTGCTCCCTGTGAAGAGCGAGTTACTATCTTCTATTACACTATTACGAGTAGTAATGAGTAAAACTGAATATTTTCCACAAATGTTATGGCGCAAAATGGCCTGACATATGTTATAAATGCATGCACTATCTTAAATTAATCGTTCTGTTATGAATAGTTTCAATTCATATTACATGTTACGTCTTGCCATTTACGTCTCAGAAGTCGGATTTCTCTGAAGTTGGGTTATTTTGTCCAGTATCAGACATTTGACATCTTAGTAACTAGTGCTAACAACTGACAACAGTATTACGACTTTTAACAGTTTTTTAATAATGTTATTATTTTTTTAATATATAACTAGGCATATTCATGATTCCAAAATACAGCTAAATCAAAAAAAATGAAATGAATTATGTAAGTAAAGTGAAATATAGTACAGTAAAGTCAAGATAGACACGAACAATAAACAAAAATCTTATGGGTGCAAAAATGTTTGTACTTTTATACATTTTTATTATTTCTTTATAATACGTATGTTTACGTGATTGCAGAATAAATGTGTTATCTCCGTAAACTTGTAACCCAAGTATTCCCAAAAATATTGCAAATCCCGTGTTTCGCAGGAACGGCGTTGCTTTGCCCCGAGTACCGACACATCGCGGAGGGCGCGGAGCTCACCGACTCCTTCTGCGTCAACCCACACAAATGGATGCTCATCAATTTCGACTGCTCCGCCATGTGGTAGGTATTCCACCTTTGGGCCCGAAATGGTCTGCGAGTGGGTGCTGAGAAAGGACGACCATAGTAAACTAGTGGTGCTAGTACTTTCTCGCTTTCTGTAATTGCAATCGCTCGCCATAAACCAGCGAGAGTGGTTTTACGCAGCAAAATATTTTTCCGCTCCGAGACTCGAACTCAGATCCTAAGATTTAACGTGCCTTATTACAGTGCCCCAGATTAACTCATACCACTACGCCACAGAAACGTCGCGTGGGTCGAACTAGGGGAAAGGCACAAAAAGGAAAACACTCCATTCATGTAACTCCATTCAAAACTTCAAAACTCCAAATATCCGTTATAAACCCCCAAAGCTTCCAGTCCGTTCATATCAATCAGGGAATATCAATTTTGAAGAAAATTAGAGGAATGGTTTAGGCTCTAGCGTTGACCACAGACGGAAAGACAGTCAAACGGACAGACGGAAGTACTGCGATTAATCGATATTTCGGTATCAAGAACCAACAAAACATGAATGAAACGACACCATGAGTTAGAGGATTTTTTTCTAAATTTAGCAACAGGATTTATCCATTTTTTGTTACCTCAGGACGACAATAAGAGTTTTTCTGGGCAAAATTCGCCGTTTTCTGGCGCATGATTACATAATTTTTCTCTTCTTACGAAGAAATAATAATTTCAGAACTACTGGAGATATCTAAGTTGACGCCATGGGTACTGGTTATGTTGTATTTAAATTTAATGTTGATATATTCATTATTTTACTTAAATTGGTTCATACATATGCACAGAAAGACAAACATTTGATTTGATGGTACAAACGTTTTACAAATCGAGCAATTAGTCATCATTTGGTTTGTATTTCTAAAAAAAATTGAGCAAAATATGAGACAAGTGAAATTATTATTTCTGACGATAATTTTTTTTTCATTATAAAACGATGAAAATTAATTTTTTTACATAAATCGCTAGAAGCACATTTCATTATGATGCATGCCGATCTTAAATTTTATATTCATGGAACCTTTGGAAATGTTTACCTACAAAAAACTTTTTACCTTCACCCTAATAATATTCACTGGTCACACAGCCAGTGGTAGCGCTGGCTGGTTTTTAATTTACTATTTCTATACTCGAGTATTGACGAGCCATGCAACTGTATTGGGTTTAAAAAATATAATTATGAACTTGTATAATACAAATTTTAAACAATAAACTTGAAAGTACCCACCGGACACGCCATGCTAAGGTAGTAAAAGGGAATTACTTATAACAAGAATTATCCTCTAGACAGAGGATGAATTCGACCTAACTACCTAGCTAGTGGCCAAAATCCACTACCGTCGGAACTAATGACGTTTTGAAGTGACCGGAATTTAAAAATCCCAGGAAGTTTGCGAGCGCGCTGGATTGTGTTATAAGATAACTAATAGTAATTATCGTTGGTTGAATGGTATGTGAGTGATTACTCTATCAAAATATAACTTACAATATTTCTCCACGTTTTTTCAAAATTGTAATATTTCACCCAGCTTTCCATTACTTCTACCGTTCATTCCATCTTTTTTTTAAAAAAAAAATTTCCTCCTAACGTGAACAATTGAGCTTACCAATATATTTACGTAATACCGATGTAATGTATAGATAGAGCATTCAATGAAAGCTGATATTTGTCTTTTAGGGTGCGTGACTCACACCAGCTGGTGGAAGCATTCACTGTGGACCGCATCTACCTGGCGCATCATAAACAAGGACTGGCCCCGGACTACCGGGTAAGCACAAATACGAGAGTATACCCACACGTATGCATCAATATGTTGAAGTTGTTGTTTCTAATGCTAATGCTGTTGCTGTTATTGCAGTTGCCTAGCATTCATGTTCTATTCTTGTTTGAAGACATGTGTTCTAATCATTTGTATTACGAAATTGATACTTATTCTTACTTATAGGTCTTTTATTAGCAGGATCCGACGTCATAAACATCATATCGATTATTTGTGTTAAAAAGTTATTCGATACTTCAAATTCCTTACAAGATTCTAATGAATCCTTAGTCACCTCGATCTCCAGAATTGCTTGAGTACTTCACGAGTTACGTAGATAAAAAACCAACAGGAAAAACCTAGCCCCGTGCGTCTTGATAAGAGAAACGCGGCATTTACAATATGAGTAATGTCTGTCAATTGCAGTCAGGGCTTCTACAAAAATCCCAAGCATTCTACAGTACTTGTAAAACTTGTCACGTACCGTAAACACAGATTACTTAGGCCCAATTTTTCAATTCTTTCTTAGTTTTTGTCTTTACTACTCCATGCGAAACTAAAAAAATATGTTTATATTTCTTTCTATAAATATAACGGCTAAATGTAAAATGCTCGAGAGTAATTTGATAAGATATATTACAATATACAAAGGATATTTTTAAAATTGGGTTCAAGTTACACTGGTGTGGGGGCTACTTGAACCCAGACGATATTTTTGTTTATAAAACAACTGCAATTTGCCTAGGTTTTTCTGATGCAAACATGAATGTAAATATACTTTGAACACGAAAAGATAACGTCAATAGCTCAAAGACAATTTTATTATCCAATTGTTCGTTGTTAACATTGAATGTCTAATTAAAAATTAATTTATCCAATCTCACCCAGTGAGATTGCCTTTGAAAGCAATAGTTCTGCCACGCATAGATACGCAGGTCTTCACAATTTTGTTAATATGAGTTGCTAAGGGTAATTCATCTTCAGTAACAACTTTTGGATGGTCCAGTTTCTGAATGGATTTGTTTTTCAGTCTGCTTTTTATAGTCGATGGACTTATTTTAAAGGAATATTCAGCTTGCCTTTGTGACTTTATTCCCAACTGAATTATTGCCAAACATTATTCAAGCAGGTGGTCCGATTATTCGGCATATTTCCGACTTCAGGCAATCTTTTGTATTTGTGTATAATAACAGTTAATTACTAAAGACGCAAGAGAAAATAAGCATCATTGAAGTTTTAACATTGAAATAAAACGATTAACGCATTAAAAAGATAAAAAGAAACTTGCGGGCTTCTTGATCTCACTGCAAACATGGGTCCAAGTAGCCAGGGTTTTGAGATTATGTGCTCACAATTAGGAAATCTAAAAAAATTGGGAAAGGCATTTTACTAATGACGACGAAACCATAGCTGTTATATTATCAAATATATAATAACCGACAATATATCAAATATATAATAATATATAATAATGTCCGACCCCAGAAACTTCGAGGGCAGTAATTTACAGGTGTATCACCGAATTATGCTACACGCGTTTAATGCGCTGTGTTGCCATCGCTACGGAAGAAAATGCAACTAAGTGGTCAACGCAATGTGTAAACGGCTTCAACCGCTAAAAACATTTTTTTCACGTTAGTTCTAGTAGTACCCTTAGGGAACAAGTAGTTCGTGATGTTGGTACTTTTTAACCATCTTCCAAAATCAATTTTCTAAACGCAGTCTCCGTGACGTGCTGTGCAAATGGCAACAATTATTGATGGAAAAACGTTTTGGCCAGGGAAAAAGTCACCAGATATGACACGCATTCTGTTTGATTCTTTTTGGTAAACATTTTCTGTTTTTTTCGAGTAGTACCTTAATCATCGGCAATTACTGATGTAACCTTGATAGTGTTCAGCCGCGCGTGATTCTCAAACCAAAGTTATTACGAAGAGATCCAACTCTTCCTTTTCATCCCGGCAGGAAAAATATGTAATGTGTCGCCTACAACGCGGTGGCACAGATGCAAAAGCATTACGCAAAAAAAACGAGATAGTGAGTTACGGCTGACCCTTTCTTGTGTATTCAAAGTATTGGCATTGCATAATACAATATGAAAAAAGAAAATGATGTACTTCATATTTGAAATGCAGCCGCTAATCAAACACATGCCTACAAATAGAAATAATATGTTACTCTTTTAGTCATTGTCATAAATATAACAGTTCTTATTCCCTTACGTAACTAAACTTGTGGTGCTGCAGAATGGCACAGACTTTCCCGTATTAGTTTTCTATCCCCTTTGGCCTCGGTTAGCTATACGAACTTGCCACACAGTCTTGCCAGCTGCCATCAATCAAATGCAAAAAAAAAATTTTTATTAATTTTTCGATTTTATAATAGTAGAACGCACATATTATTTTAAAAATATTAAAAATCAATAAAACTCCGCCCTAAATGGCAATTTTCTTTGAAAATTAAGAGCTGTTGATTAGAAAATGGCGTTTAAGCGCTACTGTAAATGCAAAATCTGAACATCTTTTCACTGAAATTATTGAGATTCCGAAAAACTTCATATAAAATCATTTCAAGCGTTTCCAGTCAAAAATGCAATAGTGTTTACAAATCGCTGGAAATGTGCATATGAAATGTGTGAGAGATATTTTAAGAAAATTACGTTTGTGTATTTTTTTAAAAAACAAACAAATACATCAAAATTAATTCTATTTCTCCTTAAACTGTGGAGTTAGCAGAATACGTTCGAAAAGTTTGATAAAAAACTTGGAGACGTTTCAGAGAAAATGGCGTTTGAGCGTTTCTGAAAATACGAAATTTTGAACTAATTTTAACAAGAGGCGGTTGAGTTTTCGAGACCATGTATCTGACATTATTTAAATAACATAAAATACATAAGAGACAAGTTAAATTTTTTTTTTGAAAAAACAAAAGAATAGCGCAATGTGATGTTTATCTCACCGTATAGAGTGCAATTAGTACTATCCCTATCAAATCTTTAAAAAAAATTGGAGGCGTTGTTGAGAAAATATAGTTTTTGTATTTTTTTTAAATTGCGCATTTTGCAAGCAGTATTGCGCGAAAACTACTAAAATTTGCCAAAAAAATGTATATAGTCTTAATGAAAGAACTCACTTTAGAAAATAAATATTATTTGAAGGACAAATCTATCTTTAATTATATAGTTGTAAGAAGACGCCGCAAAATTCAAACTTTCGCAATTTTCGAAAATTCAGAGTTAACCGTGAAAATCGGATATATGCGACCCCTATATGTGTATAGTACTATATTCTTACAATAAATTTAAAGAAAAAAATTGGAGGCTTTTTAAGAAAATTTTGCAGATGCCCGGAAGGTTTCGTGTAAAGTATCCCCAAATTTTGAAGGAAGTTTTTCAAAATCGCGGCGCCTCCAGTGGAGCCAGGGAATATGCATTTTGGAAAAAACCGTACATACGGTTTAAGCGCTAGTGGTGTTCACACACGGACGAACGTTTTGCCGTCAATTGGTTTTTTGGTATCAAGAACCCACGAAAAAGGGTTTCTGGTTATCACGTGTTAGAGGATTTCTTTTTCTTAATTCAGGAACTAAATTTATCCAGTTTTTCGTTATCAGGGCTCAGTAATGAATGTTTTTCAGTTTAAAATCCGCCGTTTTTTTTCGCGCAGCATTTTATAACTTTTCCTATATTACTCCGTATATATATATATATATATATATA